ATGTTATGGTATAGGCTACAGACTAAACGAATACCGAACTAATATTTTGATTTTGATGTTATACGTCATAGGTACACCGTACACTCACAACTTTAACACTCCTCCACGTATAGAATGATTATCATACGTCACGCGTATAATATTATAATAATATATGTTTTTAATAGATATATATTACAAGGCAGAAGAATGGTTGACGTAGCATATTTATTTAAGTCAATTCAAAGTGTTCGACACAATGCATTTGACTGTACGTTTTCTAATTTAAAAATTGTAAATGAAAAAAAAAATGGATTTTTTAGTACATTTGTTTTTAAATGTAACATGTGTGGTACAACAGAAAATATTTATTCAGAAGATCCTGAACGAAAAGGTTTCAGTATAAATACAGCGGTTACGTCTGCTATATTAAACACGGGACAAGGATATTCCCAATTGGAAGAGTTTTGTGGTATACTTGATATGTATTGCATGTAATTTCCTACTTACCAAAATATTCACGAAGAAGTTAGTCAAAGTATATTTTGTGTAAGTTTGGATGAAATGAAAAAAGCCGGACAAGAGGAATCAAAAATTGCAATTGAAAATGGAGACGTAGATGAACAAGGTCGTCCTTTGATAACAGTAATAGAAGATGGAGCATGGTCAAAAAGATCATATAAAAGCAATTATAATGCTTTATCTGGTGTAGCATCTATATTTGGTTGGAATACAAAAAAATGTTTATTTGTTGGCGTTAAAAATAAATATTGCATTATTTGTCATCGAGCTTCCCAACAAAATGAACCAACCAGATCTCACGTGTGTTATAAGAATTGGGATAGCACTTCTACTTCTATGGAATCAAATATAATAGTTGAAGGATTCAAGGAGAGTATTGCAATGCATAACTTAATATATGATAAGTTAATTGGAGACGGTGATAGTAGTGTGATGAAGAACTTGAGCTTAACTAAACCATATGGACCGAATTTGAATGTAAAGAAAATAGAGTGTACAAATCAATTGCTTAGAAATTATATAAACAGACTTCGTGAAACAGCTAGTCGACGCAAGTGTACAAATGGGAATATTGTCCCAGGTATTCAAAGAACTTTCTTAAAAAATAATTTACTCCGTCTTCGATATGCTGTTACTGAAGCCATAAAGTTTCGTAGTAAAATGAAAATAAATAACACCGAAAAAGTAAAACTACTAAAATCAGATATTTTGAATGGACCTTACCAAGTATTTGGATACCATACACATTGTGCTCAGTATTTTTGTATGGGTCCAAAAGACGATGAAAATAATTTAGTGCCTGATTTGGAAAAATCCGGTCTTTGGAATGACATTTTAGCCGCAAGAAATTTATTGGCACACCATTCTTCAAGTTTAATTCACAATGTTAATAATAACTGTGTCGAAAATTATAATAGTGTAGTCGCTAAATATGTGGGTGGAAAGCGTATTAATTTTTCTTTAAAAGGGTCTTACCAAACACGGTGTCATATTGCTCTAACGTCCTTAAATACAGGTCCATCGCATATAAGTGTATTACACAAAAAAATTACAAAAGCAAGTCCAGGTGTATTTACTAAACGTTTTATAGAACAACGTTCAAATAAAAATAAAACTAAATTGAAAAGACGACAATTGTTTAGAAATTACAAGTCTACTAAAAAAGTTTATATTGGCCCAGACCGCGACTATGGATGAATTCAAGAAGAGCCTCAAATATTAGATATGAATCCAAAAGAATTAAATATTAAAAAATTACAATTTTTAGAGCGTATATCAAAGACCAATGAAGAAATTAAAGAATTAGAAAAATCAACGAAAAATCAGACTGAAAGCGAACTATGGAAAGTAGAGAGAAGTATACGACTGACAGCCTCAAATTTTGGAAAGGTTTGTAAACTACGAGCAACAACTTCAAGAAAAAACACTGTTAAAAATATATTATATAATACATATGCCGGTAATTTATCGACCAACTATGGCATCGAAAATGAACCAATAGCAAGAATTTCCTTCGAAAAAGTGATCAACTCAAAAATCAAACTAGCTGGTTTATTTATTGATAAGACATATCATTTTTTGGCTGCAAGACCTGACGGGTTAATCGAAGATGATGGTATAATAGAAATTAAATGTCCATACACTACTAAAGATTTACGACCTGAAGATGCTATTCAATGTGGAAAATTGAAATTTGCGACAGTCGTCGATGGAAAATTAAATTTAAAAACAAATGATAATTACTATTATCAAATACAAGGACAATTACACATAACACAAAGATCTTACTGTTATTTCATTTTGTGGTCATCCAAAGGTATATAAATTGTGTTTTATAGGTATCTCATTAAAATGTCGAGGTAAAAATATTGTGGAAAATATTTATTTTTTTGGATATTAAGTTGGTGTTGTGGTTACGATTTACAACATAATTCTTATATTATTGCCACCACATTTTAATGAGGATCCTGTTTTGTGCAAGTACCTACAATATTGATTGTTTTACAAAATATATCATTTATCATTCTCGGTTCTCATTTATGTTTCAGGCATGTTGTACCAAAAGATTTTACGAGATGACGTTTTTTTCGAACTACGAATGAAACAACAATTAATTTCATTTTACCATGACCATTTGTTACTTGAAATATTAGATTCTCGTTTTAATCGTGGTTTACCTATCAGGGATTAGTTTTAGGCTTTTTTCGTCATAATAATTTTGCGTCAAATAATGGTTTCAATATTTCTATGTATGTCTATGACAAAAATATAAGTGATTTTAAATGTACAAACTTGTTTAAAATGTTTAGATTCTGTATAGAGGTATTCGTATTCCTATTTCCTATACAAATAATAAAAATAAAAATAAATCCAAGCGGCAAGTTATTTAGTAGGCATTAGTATAGATATATTGCTATAATACAAATTATTATCAAGTAAATTTTAATTGTAAAATCCCAACAATGGTTTTACGATAACGATCCGATAGCGACTAACGACACGCAACTCCGCCAGCAGTATCTGTACTACCAGCTGCGTGATGAGGTGGAAAGTGGCGGAACATTTTAAACTGCACTCACACTAATAATCATTTACGACTAACACAAATACTACGGGCGGCGACGTAAAGAGTAGGAATTGCCTAAATTGTTCCCCTTAAACAATAGTCACTAAGAGCCGCCTTAAAAGATAATATTAATATATATATAATATATGTATGATAATAATTACACTATTTTTTACCCATTTTACTATTTCAAGGAATTTTAGAAATAATAGGTTTTATATTTTTTTGCCCCACAGTATTAGTAGCAACCAAATTGATTGTGTGGGCAAAGCATGGGGTGTGTGTGTTTGCTTTTACCAAACATTTTATTCACGGCGGATACTACATAATTGGCATTGTCAGTCATAACTGTTACAAGTTTGTCATGACTTACTTCCCAATCAGATAAAATCTGTATGAGTAGCTGACCAATGTATTCAGCAGTATGGCGTTCTTTTAATTCTGGAACTGCCAACCAATATGATTTTAATGAAATACCTTCAAGAAAGTGAGCAGTCACTTCGAGAAAACTTTTTTCGGACATAGTTTCGGTCCATGCATCAAATGTAAGTGATACTTAGGAAGATACAGATGAACGCGATTTTAATCTATTCTTAATAATATTGTATTTGTCATCAAGTGCTAGCTTTACTGTATTTACTGATGGAATTTTGTATGAAGGTACCAATTCATGTAACAACCGTTTAAATCCTTCACCTACAATGACTGAAAATGGTCGACGATTTTTGCAAATAAAATAATGTAAACATAATGTTATTTTACTATAACGAACACCACCTTCTGGAACATATTAAAAATTATTTTTATGAGTCATCTTTGATTTATTTAATAGCGTTTTCCATCTGACTGCACTAGAGTACACTGGTAGTAACATACATAAATTTGTTTATAATTAAAATTAACATACCAGAATAAGAGCTAATTCTATTAAAATCTTCAACAATAGGTTTCTTTAAAACTAATGTTGTCTTTTCTTCTGAAAGTGGACAATCTACACATTCCTATAACACATAATCAGTATACATTAATTCACATGTGGGGAATTGGTATCATTAGCATGATTATTATTTATATTATATTGTATAACAATTACGATCTTTTGATTATGTAACATCAGTAACGTATTCATTGCGTAATGTTCATATATATATCTGTAGTTTTAATTAAGTTTGTCGCTAATCACGACCGTTGCCCGGCGCGTATTGTAAGGCCGGTGTCACACTTGCGGAATATCAGCAGCGGACGTTCCGCGGCGGAATTTCCGCAATATCGGAATTCGTATATTTAAATACTACTGGTCACATTACAGCGGAATTTCCGCACGGAAAAAAAAACCGCTACACGACGCGATTATTCCGCGGGATTTATTTCCTCGGCGGATACCAAAATAAATCCTAACATGTTATTTTGGGTTACTCATGTCATATTTGTAGCGGAAATTCTTGGCGGAATCGTAATATTTTATTTTATTCATCATTATTTGATTATTGATTCTTCAACGAGCATCATGTTAGACGTTGAATTATTAATATCTGAAGTGCAGTCAAATCCATGTTTATGGGATATGAGTGACAAGGAATATAGTAATCGGGAAGTTAAAAAAAAAACATGGTATCAAATAGCCAAAAATATATTTTCCAATTGGGAAGATATACAGATCGGGGAACAAAAAGAAAAACGTAAGTAAATAATTTTAATTTTAAATATATGGAATATACTATTTATGAACATAGAATAAGTACCTAATTTATAAGTCAAATTTTTAAAAACATACTACATGGATCTACTCTAAATAATAATATATAACAATAACTTTTAACTATAAATATTATAATAATGATATGATATTATTAAATTATTTATTGTATTAACTTGTAATTAGTATTATGATTCCCGATTTAAAAATAATTAAATCCTGTTATTTTGCCACGGAACACTTCCAACTTCACTTAAGAAGTACTGGGCGAATTGGTCTCTAAATTGTTGTCCAACTAAACTTCTAGATGCAGTTCCTCGTGGTTCAATAGCTAACATGTTATCACAGTTCAAAGTGTCTTCAAACGCAAATCCGTCTCTCCGTCGTATATAATTATGGAGAACTGTAGCTGCTTGAACTATAATACTTACGAAATCAGGCCCTACTGCAATACACCCATAAAAAATTTCAAATTTTCTACATAGGATTCCAAAAGCGCACTCAACATTTCTTCTAGCTCTACAAAGTCTATAATTAAAAATTCGCTTGGAATAATTCAAATCACGGCTTGAGTAAGGTCTTAATAAATGCTGATGGATTCCAAAAGCTTCATCTCCAATTAATACGTAGGGTAATGCCGGGCCATTAGTATTTGGTAGGTTAGTCGGAGGTGGTAATTTTAACGAATTGTTGTAGAGCTGTTTTCCAAAAGTAGATTGTTTAAAAATGTTTGTATCTCCTTCGCGGCCATAAGATCCTACATCCACAATTGTAAAACAATAATTAGCATCAACAATTGCCATTAGGACAACCGAAAAAAACTTTTTATAGCAAAAATAATTTGAGCCACTATGTTGAGGAGAAATTATGCGTATATGCTTCCCATCAACTGCACAAATACAATTTGGGAAATTTGTTATTTCAAAAAAAACTTTTGATATTTCTATCCATTTATTGATTGTTGGAATGGGCATTTCAATGGGTTGTAAAACATTCCATAGTTGAATACATATATTTTTTACTATTTGACTGATAGTAATTCTACCTATTTTAAATTGATGCTGTAAAGATGAAAAACGAGATCCGGTAACTAAATATCTATAAAAAAAAAATTAAATTTTTATAAATATTCATTCTTAATATTCATGTAAGTTAAATAAATCACAGTAAAATATTATTAATAAAAGCAATTATTTTACTATTGGTAATAGGGTAGATTGAATATTTTTTACCCTTGTCTAATTTAAAACCAGATTACCTGATATTGTTGTATAGTTTAAAATATAAATGATTTATATTACGTAGTAATATTATGTTTATATTACAATGAAGTCAATTTTTTAGTCACAATTCGGGGAATAGGTCAAAATTTTCTAAAAATGCATTAAAAACCTCAAAAATTCCACAAAAATATTTGAGGTTACAACATATAGGTACCTACTTAAGTACTCGACACATATTTGTACATAGAAAAACATCGTGTAAGACATTCCAAAAAAAAAATGTAAATATTGTAAATACATTGAATCCAAGTGCTAATAATAATGAACATAAAAGTTTCAAGTCCCCTTCAAAAATATTTTTACCTATCATTAGTAAATGTTAAAATTTGTATGTTCTTTAATAACAATGTGATTTCTTATAATTATATTAATTTATTTGTATCTATTATATACGTTATTAAAAGCATTTTTATATGTATATACAAATCCATGTCACAATACTATTATAATATTATTGTTTATACAATAAATTGTATAGTTGATGATTTACAAAAAAAGTGGAAGAATGTCAAAGACTACTATAAAAAAGAAAAGAAAGAACTTCCTTCTGGATCAGCTGCTGCAAAGAAAAAAAAAAATGTTTATTTTGAAATGCTTGGGTTTTTGGATAAAACTATTGAACGTAGAAGGTAATACCGTATTGTAATATTATACAACTAAAATATTTTAATTAATATTAGGGATGGGATTTATATGCATTGTATTTTTTAATAAATTTATTTTTATAATTAAGAATGCAGTAAATACGTATCTATAAAATGTAAGTAATGTAAAAAAATTTTTATTCGAGTTATTTTTCGAAGATATTTTTACTTAGAAATATTATATTGAATTTTAAAATAAAAGTAAGCACATGCAATATATGTATACATGTTTAAAAAATAACTTCACTGTAAGTGTAGTATATTATAGATTATACTATACACTATATCCACATTTTTTAATTCGTTATAAAGGCTCTAAATATAATATCTCTGTTAAGTGTATTTTGCAGTTATTAGTTTATTTAACTGTATTTTATTTTTTTTTAACAGTACTATAAGCAACGTAATAGAAAAGGAAAGCATTATTGATAACCTTCAAGATGTTCAACATAATATCGATAATGAAACAATCGAATCTGATCCTTTGGAAAATGAGGTATTACCAAAGTCAACAAGTCAACCACGAAAACAAAAAATGACGGATTTTCAGAAAAGTGTGGTTGAAGTTTTAGCTAAAAGGAAAATTAGCAACGACAACGAAGATTTGGATGAAGATAAGTTATTTTTATTGTCCCTTCTTCCAACATTAAAAAAAATGTCAAGCGATAAGAAATTTGATTTCAAAATTCAAATAATGCAAATGCTGAAAAACATTAATTTTCAAAATAATTTTAATCCACCTTTAAATAATAATGCAACGAATCAGTTATATCCATATCCTGTTCAAAATAATGTAGCTAATAACTTCCAAAGTAGTTTCCTAAATCAGATGCCTATGCATCACCAAACACCATACATTTCCAACACCATCCCGAATATACATCAAAACATAACTCCTGCAAATTCTTCCAATCATGATCCTAACTGCTTATTTTCTCCTAGTCCACCAGATGCTTCAAATCAATCAACTAGTTACATTGATGTTGACTTTTGACTGCAACTGTGATTAATGTTTACCTACCTATATTTTATTTTTACTTTTTTTTTATATATTAAAGTTTTAAATTTATGTCGTTTGATAAAACACTAAAAAAGGAATTATAATTTTTTTATTCATATTTTAAAATAATAAATAATTAAACAAAATGTTGTTTTTTTATTATCTAATAAAATTGGCATGTGTTATTTTTTTTGTGTGTACACCGTGATAAGTAGTCGAGATAATGCTTCAATTTTCAACTTCAATATTACAAAAGGTAAAAGTTAAAAGCTATCAGTAGAATTTTCACTCAATTTCGATTTTGGTTTTTTTTCTTTAAATGTCAATACAATTTTTTTGAGATTTGTACAGATTGTAAATAAGGATCCTAAAATATCATTATAATGGCACTTGAAAAATATTAAAAATATATAATCACAATTTTTTTTTATAAGCATTTCAATTTCGAAATTTGACAAAATAAGTAAAAATCATGATAATGTGAAAATTATCTTTAGTTAAAAATTCATAAAAAATTTTCTTTTTAAATTTAAGATAAAAAATATAATACAAGATTCCTCATAAATTTGTCCATTTTATCAAAAAAGTAAATTTAATTTTTATGAGCGTTTGAACTTAACATTTTTACAACTTGATCTCCCAAATATAGAGATTTTATTATTTTATTGTAATTCAAAAAACGAATAACTACCTATAGATTCATGAAATTTATGATAAAAATGATAAAAATATGTTCAAAATATTTTGACTGGTTTTGAGATGTTTATACGGACATTATCAATTTTTTAGTTATAGTTTTGTATATAAATAGGAATAAAATAGTATTCAATTGCCCACCTTTTTAAATAAAAAATATTATATTACCTTAATGTAACTGTCAGCCGTTCTTCAACGCCAATGGTCTCTCTGAAAGTGGAGTTCGTTTCGGATATACGTGGTCTCAATAAAATTACTAATTCGTCAAACGATTTAATAGACATACGATAGTAATTAAAAAACGATCCGGATATTGTCTCAAGTCAGAGACCAGAGTATAAACAGTGGAACTCACCCAAAGTTATTCTCTGAGCATTGAGTGGGTGGACCCAATGAACACGCTGTCGCTCAACTGTGTCAGCAGCAAGCGCGACACATACCAACTCGACGTCGTCTAAAAGTTCTAATAATTCCATATTATATTATTTCAATACGATGAACGGTTTATTCTGTATGACAAATGAAATCAAAATGAAGTATAAAAACTTATACTGAGCTGTAGTATCAAGTTTAAATTTTCCCGCTAATTCCGCTACGAAAAAAACGCAAGTGTGACACCAGCCTATACAATGCGGAAATTCTGCCGCGGAACGTCCGCTGCTGATATTCCGCAAGTGTGACGTCCACTGCCGTACAGTCACAAAAATTGTGCGAGAGTTCCGCTCTTTATTATATATATTTATATTTATCTTATTTTCTAAATTGTATATCGTGTGAATAGCGCTTTTTAGTGTTTATTGTTTTATATTGTATATGTGGCGCCTTTAATAAATATAATATTATACGAGGTAATATTACGGTGTTATATTTATTACATAACTTCAGAGTACTTGGGCAAATCCATAATTGGTGACCTCGACCTTCGTAAAGGGAGAACACAAAGTTTTTTTTTTCGAGCTTTAACGTTAAACAAAATGTCGAACGGCGACACGGATGTGAAGGGGAGTGCGGCCGCCGAGGTACACTCCCAGAGGAATTTCAAAATACCAGCGTTTTGGAGATCCAATCCCGAGCTATGATTTAGGCAAATCGAGTCTCAATTTTATACGTCTCGTATTACGTCAGACTCCACCAAGTATCACCATGTGGTGGCGGCTATGGAGAGCGGGTCGTAGGCAGTCGTCCGAAAATTGATAACAGTTCTAACCGAAAAATACTTGTATTGAATCTATTGCCAACATCGAAACTTAAAAAAATATGTGAAAATAATTATGGTTTCTTTTGGTGGTAGTACTACTTATTTGAAATTTAAAAATCAATGACACAATGCGTATATTTAATTTTTATGTTATGGTTATCAGGTTGTTGTTCATTTATTTATAGCAAATACTATAATTTATTAATATAATACGATAATAGTATTCGCTTATATAACTAATATAACACAGATTGCATTATTTTATAATATAATAATAAATAATAATATGAAAATTTCATAAACCATAATCATACATCATAATGAAACTTTAAAGTGCTCAGAAGCTCGTTGCTCAGTAGTCGTACAGTGTGTTACTATGGAATAGTGTTACTGTGTTATTAAGACATTAAGTTACTTTATATTCTATTATCGGTCAAATACAGTATATTTATACCTAATATATATTTTAATCTATGCTACTCGTGTAGTCGTGTCTCGTATAGAATTAATTATCCTGTGTCTTCTATAATATAGTCGTATGTGCTGATCACTGATGTAGTGGCCACTAGGTACACAATTTGTTTGTAAGTATAAATTTAAAAAACAATCATTTATTTTCATCTAATTTATAATTGTAATAAAGTGTATACGAGACATGAGGTTTACATAATGGTGCTTTTTTTTTTAACTCAAAAAATTTTTCAATAATCCATTTTGACTTTTGAGTTACGTAATTAAAAATGGTTGTTTAATGTTGAAAACATAATAGTGTTAAAATTGTATAATATTATAGTAGGAATGCTACATTCTTTTTCCTTATAAAGTTTTTTACTAGTAGGTACCTTTATATTTTATTTTCCTTCATTTTGGTGAAAACACTAATTATTTTTCAGTGTAATCGTCATTACTCATTATTATTCATACAAAAATATTAATACTTAATATATTATATAATATTTATTTGAAAATCAGAAATAAAGAAAATAATTTAACTAGAAAATAAAAGTATGTATTTATTTACCTAATGGTCCATAACTATACTAAATTATAATTACCAAATTAATTATTGGAATATTTTTTATTACCTACAAATATAATAATATAAAATAACTTAACATCAACATGACAATAACATAAAACTTTTTAAGTTGTTAGTGCCCAGCCTTGCTTATATTATTTAGGTACATATTACATAATTAACCTAACCAAATAAATTGTTTGATCAAAAATATATAAATCAAGTTTCTAGGTAGTAAAATAAACACTAATAGTAGTAATCACATTTAAAATTGATTCTGTGTCGCTGTCAAACAAAATATATAAATAATCTTAAGATTAGGGTTAATTTAACAAAATATAAAATAATTAAAATTCAAAATATATGTCACCAAGGTGAATACCAATCTCCTGTGCTATATAACCGTCCACTCTATGCCCAGCTCGTCTTAAAAATATAATTATTCGGGTAGGGTCCCTGTCATTCATTAGCTTTTGTAATAAATCCCATATAACTACAGTGTTATGATCTCTAACATGTTTGGATCGTCGTATCTATTAGAGAAAATATATTAAATAATTATTGAATTCTAAGTACACTTTTTTTAACTGATAACATTGATGAAATAAATTAATAGAATTCTACATTCTGATAGGTACTCACATTCAAACTATTTATCAATTGTTGAAATTCAATATTATATTGATTTTCTAAGAATTGTAACTGATCTGAAAATATATAATAACAATCAGTTATAGTTATCAAATTAAAACAGAGCTTTATTTTATTTTATGGTTAATTAAAAAAATTATCCACCATCAGCCTGCAGTAAAGTACATAAAAAATAATAATTTACAACTTAATTATGTGCATTTATATGTCATGACAAGCTAGTTATGTTATTTGCAGTACTATGAGTAGTTTTTATTTTAACAATTAGAAAGTAGAAAATCACTGGAAATTCATTCAAAATCTGTTTTTATTTAAGAGTTAGATAATGGGTAGGTATACTTAGGTAGGTTAGGTTAGGTATACTTACTGCAAAAATTGAATACCCAAACATGATACAATTTTAAAACAAATAGCACATAAATTCATGGTTAAAACAATGATTTGATTATGAAACATCTATAAATAATGCATATTAAGATCATAATAATAGTCATAAACATAAATATTGAGAGGATGTCCCACCCGCATATGTTGTCTTACACACATACGACATAGTAAATTTTTGTTCACCAGATTCAATAGTGTGCTGTTAATTTGCATATAATTTACCTATTATAAAATTTAAAGTTAATATTATTATCTAGGGCCCCATGTAGGCTTTTATTGATATTATTATTTTGAAATAAGCTATGATCATTTTAAAATGTACAGTTTCAAAAAGGTTATAGCTTACTTAAAAACAATAATATCAATAAAAGCTTACACGGGTGTATAGGGTCCTAGATAATAATCTTATTTTTAAATTTTATAATATTTCAATTCACTCTTATATTTTTTTTTTTTTTTTTTTTTTTTAAAGTCGAAATATACGATCTATATCAAATATGACACAATAAGTATATATGATAAAGGTACAAAAAACATGAGTATACAAAAACAAAAAGTGAATAAAGAAGCCACCCAATGATGACACTTTAATGTTGATTTTTTAATTTTTTAATTTTTTTTTTTTTTTTTTTTTAAATTTCTAAATTAAAATTTGTAACAGGTCTCTGCACCATTTACGTTTTAATCGCCTAGGAGGATTGCCGGGGATTGAGAGGGAGGAAAGGTTTTTAATTAAAGGATTTGAATGGGAGGAAAGACGGTTGTGGAATCTTTTATAAAAGTGTTTGGCTTCCTCGTGGATAGTTTTTAGTTTTAAGTCTGTATGGAGAGTATGGTTAGATATGTATGGGGGAGCATTTATCAACTTTCTTATCGCAATGTTTTGAAAACATTGAATTTTATTTAAATTTGTCTTTTTTGCACTTCCCCATAGCTGTATCCCGTACGTCCAGATTGGTTTCAGTAGTGTTTTGTAGATGAGGAGTTTGACATGAAGGGAGATGTGTTTATTAGAGACTAGAGGTTTGAGAATACGAAATTTGTTGTTCAGTGATAGTCTTTTTTCCCTAATATGGTGGGCCCAAGTTAATCGTTTATCTAAAGTAAGACCAAGGTATTTAACTGAAGGAGAGGATGGGATTGGAGCACCGTATAGAGTTACCTCAGGGGTAAGAGCTGGTCTAAGTGTAAAGGTTGTGTGTATAGACTTGCTATGGTTTAACTTAAATCTCCATTTGGTATACCAATTCTCCATCAGGTCTAGGTGAGTTTGAAGGTTTGCGGAGGCTATGAATGGATTGTCATTCATAGATATAATTACCTTGTCATCGGCATAATCTGCTACTGATGTATTTGGTGTGATAGGTTGATCTGCGGCGAATATATTGAAGAGAATGGGGGATAAAATGCCACCCTGTGGAACCCCAGCACTTATACTGCCAATACTTGACGTGTCAGACCCGTATCGTATTTGAAAGGTACGTTCAGTTAGGTATGATTTGATTAGAAGATAGAAAGGCGAAGGAAGAAATGTTTTTAATTTATGAAGGAGACCATCGTGCCATACTCTATCAAAAGCTTGAGATATGTCTAAGAAAGCTGCTGTGCAAAATAATTTTTTTTCCAGAGAGAAAGATATTGCATCTACTACCCTATGCAGCTGATGGGTCGTCGAATGAGAAGAACGAAAACCAAACTGGTAGTCCGGCAGAACTTTCTTGTCAGAAATTATTGGTAGGATACGTTTAAGTATAAGTTTTTCTAGAATTTTCGCAAGGAAGGGAAGAAGACTTATTGGTCTGTAGGAAGAAGTTGTATCAGCTGGCTTATTTGGCTTATGGATCATGATGATTGTCGAGAACTTCCATAGTAGTGGAAAATAAGATAATCTGATTATTGAGTTAAAAATATGAGTAATATGAACAATGGCTCTTTTGGGGAGACATTTAACTACTTCGACCGTGATTAGATCATAGCCCGGAGATTTTTTTCGTGGGTATTTTTAGATTTGATATTTTAAGTCGTTAGGAGAGAAGGGTTTAATTGGGAGAGAGAATTGAGGGGGGCCATTGAGAGACCTATTGACCAGTGATATAGTATCAGGATCAAATATATCTGGATGAGGCAGGAATATCTCAGAAAGATGTATTTTGAATAATTCAGCTTTTTCAGAGTCCGATGACGTAAGACTGCCGTTATGTTTTATTAAAGGGATGTTAGGGGCTTTATATCGGAGAATTTTTTTTGTGGCTTTCCACAGACTGCCGTCTTTTGAGGAGAGATTGGTAAGATTGTTAATTAGCATTATATTTTTGTGTTTAGCGAGAGTTTTCTTCAAAGAGTTTGCCAGTTGATTGTAAATTTTTTTATGTGAGGGTAATCGGGTGCGTTGATAACAGGCTCTAGCCTTACGCTTTTCAGTTATCAACGTTCTTATCACTTCTGGAAGTGGGTTGGAAATATGAGGAGTGGCGGAATTATTATTTGTGGCGGACCACGCCGCAATCTGTATAATGTTAGTGAGATCTTTAACAGCTAAGTCAATATCGTCAGGTGTTTTGAGTTTAATATTTAATTTAATATTTTCATTTACGTTGTCATGAAATTTGAGACGATCAGTGAAACGATTGAATAGGTAAGGCGATGTTTGTAGAATTGGGGGAGAGGTATTTAAAGATAATAGTACAGATGAGTGATCAGAATTTAGATCAAGGATATTTTTTGTGTTGCTATAAAGTGTATTGGGTAATTTAGTGACGAAAATATCAAGTATGTCCGGTTTTTTTTTTAAAGAAGATGGCCAGTACGTAGGAGCAGGAGGCGCAAGTACTTTGTATTTTTTTAAGTTTATAAAATTGTGAAGCGTAGTACCTCGAGGATTGCCCGTGCGACAGCCCCACGATTGGTGTTTGGCATTAAAGTCTCCACCAACTATGAAATTATTTTTAATTGTGTTGAAAAATTCTGTAAACTTAGAGGTTGTTACATTATGTTTGGGGGGGGGGGAGTAAATTGCCGCAATAGTAAAGTAAGTATAGTTTAATTTAATTTGAATTGAGCAAGATTGACAGAAGTCTTGGGAAAAACCAGGCAAAGGATGGTAAGTAATGGATGACTTAACATATATGGCCACGCCACCGTGTGCCGTATTATCAGGATGATTTGTATTGATCAATTTGTAACCTGGGATATATGTTTTAGAATTATTAGTGAAGTGAGTCTCGGAGATGAGGGCAATATCAATTCGTTTGTTGTTTAATACTGTTTCGAGTTCGTGAGCATGATTTCTTAGGCCATTTGCGTTGAATAGTAATATAAGTAGAGAGTTGTCAGTGACAGAGTTGTTGTTATAATTGTTATTTAACATTTTTATCAAGTAGGCAGGAAATTACTTTAGTGAGAAGGGAAATTAATGGATTGATGAGAGACTTAAAGTCGTCTATGAAACTTGACATTATCTTATTAATATCAGGAGGGGGAGGAATTGTGTTATCAGACGGAGCGTTGGACGTAACGTGTGCGTAAGTCTGTGTTTGAGGTATGGGTTGACTAGGATTCGAGTGGTTAATTGGGTGGCTAGCTTGTACATTAGTAAATTTAGTTTTAGAGTTTTCATACATAAAATTACTTGATGAAGATGGTTTTTTTCGACGTTGAAGTTCTTTGTAGATAGTACACCCCTTGTAGTTAGCAGGGTGGTTTTGAGAGCAGAGGGCACATTTTGTAGGCAATTCACGTGAGTTGGGGCACACAGATGAGAGGTGACCCAAGCCGCAGCGGACACAGCGAGGTTGGTAGCCACAATATTCACTCTTATATCAAAATTAATAGCACACTATTGAAACTGGTGAACAAAAATTGTCTTTATTGTACATGTGTAAGACGGGGACAACACATGCGAGTGTGACATCCTCTAAATATTGAAAATATGTAAAAATAATTTTTAAAATGTATAGGTTAAAGTTTTGAGTACTTATCAGTGCCGCAACAACCGCAGGGGCAATGCCCCTGTAGAGGGCCACTAATCGTCGGTTCAGCGGGCCCCGACGGAGCCCCGCATCTATTTTAAATTATTGCAATCAAATAAAATATATTAAATAAAAATGTTCATTTTTATAATATATTATGATATCTAATTTGTTATCGAAGAACGGGGCCCCTATTTATCCATAATAATAACTATATTTATCTATAAAATTATATTATTAGAGCGTTTTATTGTTTATTATTATTGAATTACTGTTATGTGTGGAATTGGGATTTCCCGAAATAATCTTTGTAATCGCTAATCGCCGACCGTAGTCCGTCGCCTGTGTTATTAGCTCTTACTCCTTTAAAGTGTGGTTGAGTATTGAGTGTAGAGTGTGTAGACAATTATTGTCATTCTGTCATTCTTATTTGTAAACGGTTTATACTAGTGATTATAATTGTGTTTTAATTGTTATAAACTCATTTAATTATGTCAACACGGCAGTATTTAAGCGGGTCTGCAAAAAGAAAATTAAAGCTCGTTCAAGAGAATATAAACAAAAAAATGGCTGGGTCAATGGATCAATTTGTAAAAAAAAAAACAGGTAGGTTCGTAAATTATAAGCAAATGTAGACATGAAGTTTACAATAATTATACAACACGTTGTACACGAAAAGCATTCATAATTTTAAAGTTTTACGTTCCTCATAACTGCTACAGCATTCAAATTTTAAAAAGCTTAAAAATCAAAATTTTAGACCGCCTCACTTGCCTCACCCTAAAATGTTAAATATTAAATTACAAAACAATTATAAAACTTTGATATTAATTCATGGTTTGAAGATATTCAAATTCATAATGAAGTAAAGACAATTAATAATCTCAATAATATGTTCCAGCAGATTTTGGAAAAAATTATATTTAAGGGGATTCAACATCGATATCAATATCAACCCAAAAGCGGAATAAAACTGTAGAAGTTAGGAAAGTCGGATTTTGATTCTGAAAAAAGTTTTGAAATTGTCAAGTTGTCTTCTAGGGATCGTTCGAGGCGATTTTTTGTAAATACATTACTGGCCGAGTAATTAAATATTACAAATCTGTAATTTTAAACGTTGATAATAAATTGGTTTTTAATCATTTAAAAAAACTGTTCGATCATTCCCTAGTAGACAGACCGACAAATTTGAATCTGTTTACAGATTTTAAATTCGGTTATTCAAAGTCCCGCAATAGTATAC